TTGAAAATTTAAGATTTGCATATCAAACAAGAAGTTTGGCAACTAATATTTTAATATTTGTCTGCTAACAATGTGATTCACATTATAAAAATGTATACTACATACAGAAAATACATTTGAAACGCACATGTAAAAAGTTTCATTATAATGTGATAAAACTAAATTAGTGGAAGGCTGTAAAGTTAATTATTTCGTAAAATAGGAAATTATTATTATACCAAAAACTAATTGGATCGTCACATTGTGTTAGATAGAGTACATATGTACCTAGATTCAGTTAGATAATATAAGTACTGTCACAGACAATTTAAGTACAAAGTTTCATTGAAATGTGATTAAAACCAAACCAATTGTGATTTTTTTATGCAAATTAGGTGATTAATTTGATCTGATTTTAACCCAAAACTGAACAGGTATGTGTATTGTTCTAGAGCATCCGTGTACCAAGTTTCATTTAAATGGAATAATTAGTACTTGAAATATTGAAAGCTAAACATTTATTAACCTCTAGCAGAACTGTTAGCTGTAACTGTGCTAAGAAGAAATTAAAAAGATTGGTCAAGAACTGCAACATTATAAGTTGCTCAAAAGTGCGGTCATACTAAATGGAGAGAATATAATCCTAAACAAATACATGCAAAATAAATACTAAGTTAAATAAAAAACATGTACTTCGTGCGAGACTTGAACCATGGAGCTAAACAAACGAGAAGACGCCATTGTTTGTAATCGATTTACTCTTTGCACATTTAAGTTAATGGAAATATACCATCCGATTGTCTCAAACAAGTTTGAGAGCTCTAACAGAAAACAGAAAATGACGAGTTATCTGCGTTATTCCACGATTTGAAAAGAATTCCGCTTATGGTCAATTTAACGGAGAGGAAGCGATATGCAATTTAACGGAGAGGAAGCGATATGACTGAACGTTCCAATAAAACCGGAACGCTAAATTGTGTTGGGTGTTATTTTATTTCAGCTGCCATCATTTGATGAGTACTTTACCCAATAAATATAATAACTTAAGTAGCTAAGAAAATCCTATTAGGTGTTTAGAAGGTGCCGTTGTATGACCGAAAATTCCAATATTTGTATTTTTTTCGTTTCAGCTATTATTAATCGACGTATGCATAATTAAAATAAGAATACATATTTATTAGGCATGTTTGTATGAAGAATTCTGCTTAGAACCTTTGGCCGCTAGGGAGCGCTGTGAACGTCAAAATATATCCGAAACGCTCAATAAGAAAATGGATGCCCACTTTAATTATATTTGAAAGACGTCAATAGTTCCAAGAGCAACGCATTATCACGTCGCCATGTTCAAGTAATGACACTCAGTAAAATAGTATAGTGTGTAATAGCTCTGAAAGCAGGTCATTATCATGTCAGCGCGTTCAAGTATATATTCGAACACAATGGCGCACACTAATAGCCCTGAAAGCAACGCGCTGTCATGTTCGTGTTGACAGACTTGTATAAACGTTAGATGTTTTGAAAGCATCGAATGATCAGTTCGGTATCAAAGGTGTGGCCTGGTGATCTGAATGGTAGTAGATTAGTAGGAAGTTAATCCAAGACTACACACGTTTTCTAAAAAAAAAGTTTTCTAAAAAGGTCAAACGGTATGAGACATTTTAGTGAAAGTCAACGTGAATTGGCCATGAAAAGTAAAAAAGTAGTATGTCAATCTTGTATGGGTTTTGCCGTTCTTTTACCTATTCACAAACCAGCTGAGTATGCGTCTTTACGTTCGGTTATACGCGTTGGTCGACCTTATTGACGACTATTGTCCATACTATCTCACAGTCTAAGTTAAAACCTATGGAGCCTCTAGACATTCTAAGTCTTCTTGCGATTTCCTTGTTTGAATCTCAGATATTTCCCCACTTTCGACACTAAAAGGTTTCATTATAGTGTCAACAAGAAAAGAAACTGATTTAGGAGTTAACAATTCGAATCAATACACTGAATCAAACAAAGGGAGCTATAGCTCACATCAGCACTAAGCCAGTTTTGTTTAGATCGGTTCATGCGATAGTTTTCAACTCGCGTAAAAAGTGATAATCGGCAGACGTGATCCTTGTCACGTCACAGTTACTGTCCGTTTTAATTCACTGAAATGAAGTTAACTGTATGGTGATTTAGAATTAACCATGCACGATCTGTGTTGAAAAGGTACAGACGTCAAACATTATCAAGGTAAGAGGCTTGGGGTTTTGTGTTCTATGGCTTCTAAAAGTTAAATAAAAATGATTCATTCAAGTCGGAAATAGTATTGAATAATACTCGCCTGAAAACACGGCAAACGGAAACGGGGGAACCCACTTGATTAAAATTATTCTTTAATGTTTTAATATTTGGCACAATGTTATCTTCGACAAAAATCGTTTATAATGATGTTTCCATTTAGGTGACGGGACTTTAATTACCAGAGGGTGGGGGGATTTAGAAGCGGAACACTTTTCCAGCACACGTATCCAGCACATTTTTTTTAAATATTTATAAGAAAAGGGTCATGTATTATATATTGGTTTACCAATATCAACAGCCAAAACATTCAATGAATACCTTCTATTATCAGTAGCATTTTAGGTAAGCCATCTTTGTTCAACTTTTTGATGCGCCTTCCTAAAGGCTACATAGTTCACATGCCGATTATGCTTTGTAATATATTGTCTATATACATTGGTTATAATTGTTCATACTTTTGTAGTTTCCCGATGTTTCTTTTCGTTCGAAGATCCGTGTATATTATTTAAAGTACACCATTCTAATTATTAATATAATGTACCAGAAAATACTTAATTTTTTTATTCATCACGATGAACATACTCTTGTTCTTCCTTGATGTTTTGCAGACAATTGCAGTTTCAATTGTTAATTAAAATTAGCGTTCCCAACATCATATCTTGTAAATTGACAATTTAAAATAGAATCTGCATTCAAGATTCTCAAGCAATTCAACTCTATTTTAAAAACACTTGTATATCAACAGTAAATGAAGTAGAAGCAAAGCATTTTCTCAATGTCATTGTAAAACGAGTATAATATTGAATACAAGAGGGTAATACATTTTGTTTAAAAGCAAAATGAAATGTCATGTTATTCAACTTTTGTCAACATCCCAGCACTGATAAAATTAAGTGCTATCGCCATCAAAATATGAAATTCTCTTGACACAATAACTTATTGTGTCCAAACAATGTACACAATGTATTGGAACGTGGAAAGTAAAATATAAGTTGCAATTTGTAGATTTTCTGGGCTGTTATTATAATGGAAAACTTGTATGAGATAAAACAAACTCGATACTGAAGGAAACATTTTCTTGATGCTGGGCCAAATTCTCTTTAACTGGATTCTCACTGTTTTAATCTTATTTTCATGTTTGTCATGCAGGGCTAGGTAGTTATAATTTGACATGTCTTGGAAAATTTGACGGGTACAAAATATTACCGACATGAATGTCATCTGCCCGTTTTTTTCCAACGATTAAAGGATCTATATATACTAAAACCTATATATACTAAAACGACGTACATGTCCGAAGGCCACTGCATTTGTTGAATGGGGGTTTTCAAATAAAAGAATCAGATCACGCAGTTGTTGTTGGCGTAACCACAAGATAATAATACAGTCATTGACGGGAGCTGATAGGCACACGCGGGAGTTTCCACACAACATATATAGTACCACGAGGAGATAATAAAAGGTGAAGTGCATGTAACTTGTGTATAATAAACCACGTGAGATGATGTAGAATAAATCAAAAACCTTGTATTTAATTCAAAAGCATATAAGAACATCCTGAATACAATGTAAAATAAACTATGGTTATCTGAATTAAAATAAATTTAGAATATTTTACCAACCTAGTAACTTAGTTACATGGATGACTCTTATTTTTGTATGCACATTACCGGTGTTTTGAAGACTTCTGGGTGATGCGTTGACACTTAGAAGAAACCAGGCACGTAGGATGAACACATGGTATGGCAGGAATGACAGACGCACAATTCCGCGGTATTGTCCCCAGATTCACGAATTAGCCGAATAGGTAGGATCACCAAGTGACCTCACGCCAGCATCACGGAGACATCAGTACAATTTTGGTGTGGCACAAATGTTGAAACTAACACACGTTTACATGCAACTTTACTACAGCCACTACATCTTGGGAAATAGCGCATAAGTTAAATGTCATCCAATCACATTAGGCAAAATCTAATGAAGAGTTAACATTTCACACAATAAAAGATCTACCTGCTTGAATATACATGCAATGTTTTACTCCATGTCGGGGAATGAATTGTATATAATGCAAGCACCAGCTGTCTCATTTTGACGATTAAATCCACATACGTGTAGAAGTATATCTGGTGTTTTTAAAACATCGGTATAAATTTTACTTATATTTCGTGAAAATAAATCCTAGTAAGTCTCCGTGTGTCATAGATTCCGAATCTTTAGTAATATTAACCACTGTGTAATGAGTGTAATCACTATCTCCATGACATGTGTACAATATGTTAGTTAAGCTTGCTATATAATACAATATGTAAATGTAAATAAGTACGAATTATTTGTAAGTATTCAGAAGCTAGTTTAAGATCTGCACTTTTGGGCCCATATTCCATATACACTAGTAATAATATGAAGTAATTTATGAAACCTTGATAAAACCAATTTTGTAAATATTATGACACTGAAAGTATGATGCACATAAAAATTCAGATAAATTTCATATATTTCAAGCAAAGCATAAACAAGCATAAACTGATTATTAATTCATACTCGCGCAGGTACTTAAAACAGTTGAAAGCATAAAGGCATCACGCCACAAGTGATTGCAAACTGCGAAGATGTAATAAGAATTTAAACTACATATACCTTGTTAATACCACAATTCCTATAATACATCATTAAATACAAAATTGTCATCGAACATCCATTAACGTTTATCACATTAATAGGTCAGCCATTATGGCTAACCGTCGTTAACTGGCGTGAATTGTATTGTCGTGTTGGAATCGGGATTCTTGAACAATAACTACTTCTGAATCATTCGGTAATGGTAAACGGTTACATGGTTGTTCAACTTTATCTTGACATCGACCTTGCATAGATGTGTGTGCGGCATCAGCATGTAGCGTTAAATCTTGTGGTTGCACATCCGATGTAATGTGATATTCACAACACGGTAAGCAAATACTCCAAAAAAGTTGATTAACTGATTTTCGAAACATCTTATCAGTGGTATAATATACTATTGGGTTGTACACACATGAAAACTTGGCAAAAAGGTTTGGTGACGTCAGTACTATTAATGGAATATCAGCTGAACTGCCTTTAATGACTGAAACAAACGACACAATAGCGTATGGAGTCCATGAAACAAGGAAACATATTGTGGTAATTGCGAACATCTGAAAATTAAATCAAAACAATATCAAACAATGTGAGTTAGTAATTACAAACAGCAATCAGGGTACCTTGCAACAGGTATAATACTTCACTATGGCATATTATCATGTTTTGCGGGTAATATTAATAACCGAGCAAATCAGCGGCATATATAGGCTTCATAGTATTTATACATATTTTTCACATATTTAAGGTAGAAGCCTACTCATAATTTTTGACGAAATTGGTCAGAAATCGCATGTTAATGTACAATCATGAAGCTAATGTCTCATGGTACAATGAAATAACATTGTGTTACAGTTAAGCTTTCTGAGAAATGTGTCCTAGTATTTCTTAAAAATCGCAATTTTTAGAACAATTTCATAGAACACAATATTAAAGAAAAAATGTATTTTTTGACACATTTTAAAACCCAGATTTGTTAAATAATTCAGAACAACAAAAGGTATTCCATCATGTCACCAGGCTAGATTTTGAGATATTTCATAATATCTCTGCCATAGGAACATATGTTTAAAAGCATCATAATGGTGCCAAAATGGAGACTTTCCGCGAAAATACAACCATCAATTTCTCGAAAATAAGACTAGTGACCCCTAACAACGATGTTGAGCGCATCACCTACCATATACCTGGGTATTTCGTTGTACTACTAGTATTATTTATTTATTTTAAACCAATAATGAGCATAACACCAGAGAAATGGGTGCATGATGTGTTTGACTAAACATTGAAAAAAGCTCGAATACTGAATGATGGAAGCGTTAAATATGCCTGACCATATTCAATTCTGAATGCAGCATTACTGTAACAATCACCTGAGTAGCATATATCACATAAGACGTACCCAATATGCCTGCAATATATACTGATGGTTATTTTCA